GGTGGAGCCGATTCCGTTTCAGGTTCAGGTTCCTTTGGTGGAGCCGATTCCGTTTCAGGTTCAGGTTCCTTTGGTGGAGCCGATTCCGTTTCAGGTTCAGGTTCCTTTGGTGGCTCTTTTCCGCCACCAGAAGCAGGAGTTACCGTGAAAGGTTCACCAGTACCTTTAACCTCAGGGTTAGACTTGAGAGCGACTTCAACAATATAATTAGTTCCAGGAGAATATTTATCATCGATTGGGAATGGTAAACTTCCAGCAAGAACGGTGGACTAATTTTTTTTATAAAGGATATTAATTTTTTTTTTAAAAAAAATTAACTTGCACGAAAATGTCAATCACAACAACAACATACATCAGCGCTAAAGATTGGCGTAGGATCTCCTTCTGCGAGGGTAGAAACAGTTACTGGTTCTAAAAAAGTCAAACATGAATACAATCGTTTTTATTAGAGGATTTCAAAATCGTAAGAATAAAAATTTAAAATATTCATTTGAATATCGTGAAAGAAACATAAAAAGCAATGTGGATTTAAGTTTCGTAATTTTATTTTTAGTTTTATATTTTTTTTAATTGAAAATCCGAATTTTCTAGATTCCTTTTTTTTTTTTTTTTTTTACTAACCATCTTCAATTCCTATTGACCACCAACTAGCGACTTGTTCAGAACCTTGGGACCAAGGACCTGGACCAGGACCAGCAACAACAATTTTGGGTTCACCACCATCTCCTGGTGCTTCTGGTGCTTGTGGAAAAGGGGTAGAATAAACAAAGGCAACAAAGATCGCAAGAACCAAAGAAAAAGTGATGGATTTCATTTTTTTTTTTTTTTAATTTCGTCGTTGAAATGTGAAGAAAAAAAAAAAGGATGGAAGAGATATCAGCTCATTTATATAGAATTTTTCTTTTTTTATTGTCGATTCGATGCCTTTTTTTTTTTTATTTAAAAGTTATCGTATTACTCCTCTGACGTGGCTTTCGGAAAAAGCCATGATGTTGATCAAATAAAAAAACCTTAGCCTCCTTAATTGTTTAAAGTGATCATGGGCTTAGTGCCGGTTTTTTTTTTTTTTTTTTAAAAAAAAAAAAAAAAAAAATGTTCTTGTTTTAAATTAATAATAAATGATAAAATGATAAAAAGCACGGCTTAGCGTATCTTTCTTTTTATCGTTAAAATTTAAAATTTAAAATATTAAAAAGTTATGTATGGCTTAGGCGTTAACGTCATAAATCAAGAATTGAAATCAATGTAAAGGATAGGCGAAGTTAAACGGAAAATTTTTAAAATGGATGATGACTATCACAAACATACGTAATTTCTTCTTTTTTTTTTTAAAGCAAAGTAGTGGGACTGTTGGCTAATCGAAGAAAGAAAGGTATCATCATTAACACCCAAGAAAAGTCTAGATCGTTATTAAAAATTAAGTGAGATCTAAGCCGAAACAGACTGTATTACACAAATTGTTTCAATCTTTATCGGGGCTGGTGTAGGATTACGAACCAACATTTTTACAAGAAACAAAAAAAAAAAAAAAGAAGCCATTTCCTTAGATTAAATTCCCTCAGCCCACATTTTTAAAGTGAAGGTGATCGCGTAACATATCCTTCGAAAATATAACAAAATCTTTTTTTTATTATTCGTACAATATACAAACTTGTGTAAAAATTTTAATCTTCTTTTTTAATACTAATCTTTTCTACCTTCTCAACATTCCAATACATGACCATTTGTATAGCTAAAACTACGTTAAGTACGGAAGCTAGAACATAACCGATTAAAATCAAGGAATCATCAACTTCAGACAAGGTGGTGAATATTCTAGCTAAAGAACCGGCAGTGAAACCAAACACGGCAAATGAAGACAGTTGACCCGTACTACCATTCTTATAATTTGTTGCTATCTGTGGAAACTTGGAAGCAAGAGAAATTGGTATGGTGATCGCTTGAAGAAATGACAAGAAAGCATCGTTAACTATCGCGGGAGATCCAAGGACATAAGAGATTGCGACAATGGTAATACCAGTAAAAAACAGATCTCTGGAGCGACCCGAATAGTTAAGAATTAAAAGTAATATGATGATATTTTGTATGGTCAAAAATACTAATTCTCCAAACGTACTAAAAGGATTTCCTTGTCGAAAATTATAAGCCAATCCAACGCCCATAGCACACGTTTCCAAGATATAGCTTGACAAGCTAAGACCACGAGCTGACCTTGAGCCCATGATTTTGATGATTTGAGGTAGCTTGACCAATGCACCGCCCAAAACGATCCCAAAGCCAAGACCTTTAGATAATAAAAGCTTTAAACAAGCCGCATCAGTAATATTAAGATCTTCTATCAACGTTGTATAACATTTTTCTCCTATCAATTGAACAGCAGGAGCTTTGATTATTTCTGGAAGAATCATTCTGAGTTAAGTTTATCATTGTAAAAGATAAGTTCAATTTCAAAATAATTATGTATATATATATATAAAAAAAAATAATAATAAAAAATAAATTCAAACTTACATTAATTACTTATTACTGGATACCGGATTATTAGTAAACTTTAAATTACTTTTAGAATAAATTAAATTAGACGAACAACTTCACGACTTTTCTAGTAAATTTTGCGATCAAAAAAAATAAAATAAAAAAAACTTACCGTAAAATAAAAGGTGACCAATTTGATGCTTAATTTATTAATTTAACCTGTTCTTTTAATTGGTTATTCGTTAGAATTTATTTATTTAGACGGAAAATTTCCCCGCTGTTCCACTTACCAAATTAAAAATTTGTAGGTGCCAACCTGCTTAAAGTTGACAAGCCTGTTTAAAATAAAATATAAAACACGTAATATTATTAATAAAGTTAGATTATCATTCGAAAAGAATTTTTTTTTTTCCTCTTGAATAAGGAGAAGAAAGGAGAAGAAATAATTTATTAATGAAAACAAACCAGCAAAAAAGAAAAAAAAAATCCAGGAGAAGTTTATGCAACCTGATAAATAAATTTTGAACTGTTATATAATAATCTTATCCAATAGATTTTTTACACGAATTACTATTTTTGGTAATTCAGCAAATAAATATTACTGCGGAACAAAACCTGTTTTCGTGGTTTGTTTAAAACGTTTAATTAAAAAAAAAATGCACCCGTTGTGTTCTTTAAATACATGACACTTTTGTGATAACCAAAAAAACTGTAGAAAAAATTTTAAAAAAACATGAAGTTATACGAAAGTCTCGAATAATATTATTTTTTTATTACAATAGAAATATGATTATAATATTAACTCTCATCATATGATATGAGCTAATGATATGTCCTTGAAACTTATCGTGTTGTTTAGATAAATATGAAATTATCAAATGAAATAATTGTATTAAAGAAATTATATTTGCTAAAAGACAAACACTAAGATTCGCAAGTCGGAGCATCGGGAAATTGACTACAATCCATATCATCTAGAGTCCAATTAGATTCATATCCGTTAACTCCATAACATACGTCATGATCCGAATTTCTCCACTGATCAGTCTTATACACTCTTACATGAACTTCAAATAACTCATTTGGTGCATTTGAAGTATCCATCAATGTACAATTATTATTACAATGTACGTAACCAGTGTCGTACCACACATGTCCTTTAAAATTTGATACATCCCCTCTGCAACTCGTATCAGTATAAATGTTAGAATGTATTCGCACACGAGTCGCTATATATGATTTAAATAGACCCAAATTAGGTGAAATTCATTATAACAGAAAGATAAATTATTTTGATATAAACATTCGAGAGCTTTACCTTTAACGATGTGAATCAATACAAAAAAGTTGATGAAGAAGAAAATTGTGGAATACTTCATGGTGAGCGTGATAAAATGTTTGATTAAATTAGAAAATTAACAAGAGATTGCTCCTTATTTTAGCGGCAGACAGGACATATTTATAGAATTTAAACTCGGATCGTCTTCATAAAAATTTAGGGGGAGGCATATCGACCAGTTATTTTTCATATAGATGTACCTTGTCTTTAAATATGGATGTTTCAATATATATTAAAAAGGTCTAAACACGTATTTATTATTTTAAATTCAATTTTACAAAAAAAATATTCAATTCAAATTTTTGAATAATAATAAATATTTAGTAAATAAAGGTGAAATCTGAAAATTTTATCTGATTTGGTTCCGTCATTTACTTTTATGAATTAAGCTATAATTTTGAAATTAGTTCTTTTAATCTTTGCGTTTAATTTTGAATATCATTATTTGATGATGTTGACAAAAGGGATCTTTTTTATTGTGCAGTATTAGATTTTTCAAAAATGATGTATTTACCATTAAAAATTTGCCATAGTTTTTTTTTTTTTGTTTAGCAATAATAATTGTTAATTGACGAGCTTTTAAATCTTGCTTTTTTTTTTATTGAATAAAGAGAATATACTAGGGAACGGAGCCCGTTGTTAAGTCCGGAATTTTATCTCGACTTTTGTGCAATTGAGGGGCGGACAACGGAGAATTGTGTAACCAAAACCTGTACAATATAGTCCTTCCTTCGTTCGGACTGATTAATAAGTTTTTTTTTAGTAGGAAGGAAATTAAGCTTATAAAACAAAAAGTAACAAATTTACCTTTTTTGCTTGGTTTCTTAATAAAGTGGTTCTTACTTTTTTTTATTTTTTTTAAAAAAATCTAATATAAATGACGAGAAAATGAACTTTCTCTTCATCAAACCACATGATAAATTGTCCATTTAACTGATCGTCATTATGAATTGGTATAAAGGCCGATTTAATAATAAAAAAATGTTTTTGTTATGGTGAAAATTCATGTGTTATCATTCCGTACGTTGTAATTTCTTTATCTTTGAATGTACGTGTATAATAGTTTTTTTTTTTTTTTAAAAAAAAAAAATATCAATAGTATTCAATATACACCGATCTCTTCTTAACCTAAATTAACTTAATCAAATTTCCGCCCCCAAAATACTTGGAAATTATTAAATAAAAAAAAGAAAAATGTGGCATCGATACACACAACATCATTGCCAAATGCTATTTGACTTTTTGAAGATTTTTCTATGCTTTGTCAGATGATTACCATTACCATTATAATGTTTAAAAGGACGAATACCTAATTTCCCTTCGTATTAATAATTATTTCCGGATTTTCAACAGTAACCAATTTTACAAATTATTGCCGATCAACAATACAAACAATGTATTATGGGAACGTTATATATCTTTTTTATTTATGACATTATCATTAATTATAATTAAATCAACTCATATGACAAGATTAAAAAGAGCAGAAAGAAATTCGACTGCGGCTAGGGAGAACTCTCTGTAGGAAATTCGGTGAACGCGAAGCAAGCCATTTCATGAATGCGGTTTGGTTGTTTTCGTTTAAAAGATGTACAATACATAGCCAATTCTTTCTTCAAAAAAAACGAAAACTTACCAAGAAACAACATCTATGAGTGATTTCTATCGTGCCCTTAACCCACTTGGAGTGCACATAATGTGTTTACATTTAAGGCTGTAGCCCCCATGGTCTTAACAATTTGGGGCTTCGTCAATAGAAACATCTTCTTACTTAATAATTTATTATGTTATAAGATGTGTTTCTATTGACGAAGCCCCATTTGGCCTGTACAGAAAGAAAAATAAATAAATAAATAAAATTACGAAATCAAATAAATATAACCCAGCCCACTTCTCTGTCTAATAAAATAAAGAATATTAAAATGATAATAAGGTCGTCATTAAAGAATTGCTTTTTATTTATTTTTCAATGAGTTGTGAGAAATAAAAACTTGGAATCTTTTCGAACATGTAATATATATTTATATAAAACATTGCAAAATCATATTATCATTCTTTGCGAAAAGCTTTGCTCCGAACCATTTTTTTTATTTGAACCATGTCAACTTTGGAGACAATCGAATACGTAATCGCACGTTAACCTGTCCCATTGGAGCATAATCACGTAATAATACATAATAAATCATAAGATCCATGATTTAATAAAATACAGCAGCGAACTTTCTGTTTCTGGAAAATTAAAAGTTCAAGCTTGCTTTTCCTAAGTTGATTACATCTTATAAGCTCTGTATCAACCAAAAGTCTAGGATGTTGTTAATGAAATTGGGGTCCATATAGTAACCGATTTGCATTATTAGTAGTTAAGAGGTCCACAAGACGCACATATCCTCTCAATTAAGAAGAGGCAACAATCAATTTCCTAACATCGCATTACATTAGCATTGCAAGAATACTTCTAGTCGGGACTTGAACTTCTTATCGGAAGTTATTAGGCTTAATGAAGTTTATATTTTAAAGGTTGAGGGTTTCTAAGAATTCTGGGAATTTTAGAAATGTAAAATTCATTTTGAAAATGATCGTTAAGGCGCAGTCATTTAATATATACTTCAGAGAAATTTATTTACGTGATTTCATTAGACGTTTATTATTCTTTATTTTATTAAACAATGACGAGAAATTGGGAAATATGATATACGTTTATTTAATTTTATGTTTACAACTTTTTTTAAATTGTTTTGTTCAGAACTTTGGGTTTCATAAAAAGATACACTTGTTTGCGATAAAATTCGATCAAACAACACGAGTAGTATCATTTATTTATGAACTTTATTTATATCCTTTTTTTTTTTTTCTTAGCTTATTGCGATGAATATTTCAACTATGAAGCCGAAATAAATGAAAAAAATGAGTCTTCATGTAAATGGACGAAAGAAATTACCGAATCATTTCTGAGATTTTGAAAAATAAAATTCAAGGATTTGAAAGACATGATGCCTTACCTAAGAATCAATATACGAATGGCGATGTTACTGCGTAAAAATATCAAAAATGTCATCAATTATGTTAAATATGTTTGCTAAAATAATTATACATTACATTTCTTTCTTATATTTGTTTTATTTTTTATTTTATTAATTATTTTCGCTATATTCATTATATTTGATATTTTATTAAATTTGCTCGTTCATGAACTGACTGGCTTCACGTTCACCGAAATTCCTATAGGGAGTTACTCCTCGATCGATCATGTATTTCTGTCTGCTCTTTGTTATTATCATGTGAATAATTGTTCTCGTATGTATGATTTAATTATTTCTTGCTAATGTCATAAATAAAAAGATATATTGATATGTAATAAATAAAGTTCCCATAACTTTTTGAAATGTATAAAGACAAATCATTAAAAAACAATTCTGATCATGCAAGTTAGCAATAAATACTGTCTTATTCGAAAATCAAATGTTTTTCATGAATAAATATTTCCCGAGAAATAAATTAACCTAATTACGTGAAGGTCATCTCGCTGATATTATTTGGTGTTGCCAAAATTTTAATTTTCCTTATGCATATGAAAAATAATTATCTATATAAATTATGTATGTTAGAAAGTTGTGTGATTTTCATCGTTGATCTTTCACTTCTCAATATTAAAAATTGTTTAAAGTGATGATACCACATAAGTTTATTCTTGGAATTATCTGGACTTTCCTCCTAACCAAATCATCTCAATACCCCAATGACTACCTAAAGCATCATTCTAGAAGTCGGAATTGAAGTAAAAACCTTTAACCGTTAATATATAGTTAATATTTCTTAAACAGTTAAAATTAAATTAGGCGAGTATTATGGATTTGACCAGAGTTAGCAAATATTTTTGCAATAATAAAAATCTTAATTCATTTCGGCTGGAATTAAAATCAACAACTTTAACCGATAAAAGATTTTTTTTTTAAACGGTTAACATGTTAACCGTTTTAAGCGGTTAATTAACCGGTTAAATTAACCAATTCCAACCTCTACCTAATCCGAGTCCCACTACAAGAGAATCTGATAATCTCATGTATCCTTTTATAAAAAAAATATCAAGTTCTTTTCATGCAACTGATATGCTAATATATTTACAATAGAATCGCTCTTCCCTATAACCATTAATTGTTTTAATTTAACATAAAAAATTACTCTCTCTCCACTCAAATATACCTCTTTAACAATCTCTTTATTAAATGATTTTAATGCAAAATATTTTTCACCATATTTAGCTCTTTAAACTTTGCCAATATATTTATAAATTTATTGTATTCGTAACATTTATGTGCATTTTCTTTATACGATTTTCTATCCATTCTATCAGTAGACTTTTTATTTAAGAAATCGTGAAATAGAGAATATAACGATAGTAGTTAGTGAATTATTATGATGATGAAAAAGAGGTTTTAAGAATAAAATAATAAAACACTGGCGATTTTTAGCGCTAATACTGTAATTTAATCGTTCCTTCTAAATATATGATGGTAATTCTGAGGGCAATCCACCGGGACATGGAGATTCAGAAGATGAAGTTTGATTTCTATTTTCCGCTTTCTTCTTTAATGGTGTATCGTCTCCTCTTATATTATATATAGCAATTGCTTTATTTACTGCTCTGGCCGTTGACAAGACATCAGCTTGTAATAACAAAAAATTAGTTATTATAAGTATCTAACAAAGTATCTACAAATATCCATTTCAATCCTTTACCTGCCAATTCATTAGATCTTTTAAGTCGTTAGCAAATTGTTTAAGCATAAAGCATTGAAGTATATATATTGATGTAATTGGTCGAATTTAATTTTAATTTCAATTAACCCATCTATAAGAAAATATTAAGTATATATAAATAATAACTTTCATAATAACTGGATTCTAATTGTGATACTTACTGAAAGATTGTACTATATATACACGTGTACGGTTCTTTAATACAGTTTTTTAATAATTTGTTCAGAGTTCTCATTAAGTTTAGATACAATTTTAACTGATCATTATCTTTTTTGGATAAGGATGCTTTTCTTCTATACAAAAATTCAAACAATAATTATAACCTGGCCTTTACCAGTTATTCTGATCACTTTGTATAATCCATCAAATTTATAGTCTTTTGTATCTGAAGTAGTTTGTTCAATATTCTTTTCTTCTAATTTATTTGAAGATTCTTCTTCTCTTACATGATTTATCTAAGGATTAAACTCTAATTCAATTATAGGGTTTACTTTATTCAAAATTTCATTTGTATTTCCTTTTTTAGACATTTTATCAAATGATGTCATATCATATAATATATCACGTGATTTAATTTTAAATTTGCATTTTAATTCTGTGAAATACTTCATAGAATCTTCTTAAATTATTCAGAAAAATATTTTGAAATTAGATGTTTTTAGAAATTTATATTTATGGTAAGAATTACCAATTTGTTAACTCTACTCTTAGCCCGTTGAACTTAGTGTAATTATGACTTAATAATAGAAAATAACGTATGAGAAACTACTAAGTTACTGTGAAATAAATCCTATCACAATCAATTTTAAGTTTATATTTTAGACGAGTAAAATAACTTTAACACTTTATAATAATAATAAACATGATTAATATGTTGAAGGATTTTAATATGTGTAGTTTAGAAAGAGATTCCTTTATTGTAGAAATTTATATACTTAGCAATCCTTAACCTTAGATTCTAAGTAATTCTAAGTCTTGAACTTGAACTATTGAGTTATCACTATTATTTCTACCCTTTTGTAAGGACAAATTTCTATCCTATTTATATAAAAATACAATTATAAGAAATTACTATCTAATGCTAAATTATTTTATAATGCTAAATAAATATAAAAGATAACTTATAATTTAATTATAATAATAATATAATAAATAATAATCATAAAATATAAGAATAAAATAAATAAAATAAAAATGTTAACTAAATTAAAAATGTTAATGATATTAATATTGTTGATCATTTGTCAATCTTTGTGATGCAGTAAGCTTGACTTTATATGATATCAACATATATTATCCTATATTAAATTATCAGATTTTTTATTATATATGAAAATTATATATAAAATTCAATTTTTTTTTACAATTATATAAAAAAAATTTTTATTAAAATAAAAGCATTGCATTTATATTTCTATTATATAAAATTTTAAAATTTTTAGACTAGTATTTAATATGCTTATCTTTAACTTTAATTATTACTTTAATATAATTATATAAGTTTAAAATTAAGTGTGTAATATTTCTAAGCTAATTTTTCTTCACTTTTTTTTTATAGTATTAATTAACTTTTATTTTTAATTTAGGTAAAGACTTTTTTTTCAAATCTAATGGTCTAAATAGTTTTACAAATTCTTAATCAGATTTAAATTTAGACTTTATATTATCTAATTTAAAATTGAAATATTATGTGTTAACATTTACTAAATATTATATGAAAATGTATAACAGGATGCTTCATCTTGCTGAAATATAAAACTGAGACATAAGGTATAAAAAAGTTAATAAGAATATTGACATAATCATCAAAATTTATATTTTCTTCTACTATAACTAGAGATTTAATTCTATATTAATCAAAACAATCCTAAAACATTACTGATCCTTCATTAATTATTTTATAGGTTAAATACAATCTTAATTATAAGTTACTCTAAGACTTTTTCAAACTTTTATATGAATATCTAAC